CCGTCACCGTCTCTCTGCTCCGTTCCGCTTCTATTGCTCGTTCTTTCTCCTTTGTTTGCCACATTTCCCTCGCTCCCGCTTTCATTCAATCTCACAGCCGTTCAGTCATAAAAATATTTCTACGCCTTCCTGGATACTTTTTCTCCTTTCTTGTGCCACACCTTGCACACTTGCCCCGACCCGTTTGGCCCTGCCACCCTTCCTGCACGCTCTCGCTCCTATTATTCTCGAGGACTAGAAGCGGCGCGAAGTGTGATTTAAACGCGCGTAAAAGCGGCCGTTAAAAAGCGAGAAAGCTCCTTAACTCCCCCGCTTTGATTGGCCAACTCGGTTTATTAAAACGCCCTCGGCGATATTACATATTTTTCTTCTCGCTTGAACCGGGCCACTTCAATGTTACTGTACACCTCCTCCTTTCTCCCTCAACCCGTTGCCCGTTCTTTCGTCTACTCTTTGTCCAGCTATAAGACTAGCTGCTCAAATAACCATTCTCTCTTTCTCAGTTTCTTTTCTTTATCGCCCACCTCCGAGCCACCTTCGGGCACAGTGTCTTACTACACTCCTCGAAGAAGTTTCTCTCCCATCAAACGGTTCTACCGTGCAACGAGCATCTTTCAACCGCTTCTAAATGATATGCTCGTAGAATGACGTAGAATGAGTGGAAAGAATACAAGAATCGTTGAAGGGAAGAGAATAGCGTGCTCGAAACGTCAAGGAATCGAGCGACGTGCATTCAGATCGCGTTGATTGAATTTCTCCCGCACGTGCGAACGCGATTACCCTCGCTCGTAAATCCGCGCGAACCGCAAGATCGAAAGTAGGCATCAAGATAAAGCGAGACAGTACAGCTGGATTCCCTTTTGTAATATTAATTAATAAGGCAACTTCCGTGGAACGAGATACTTGCTGCTAATTAAGAAATACCTAGCGAGCGCTCTTTTCCAACGCAGGGGCGAGGAAGCGGAAAAGCAAGAGGTAGAAATTCCACATTGCTCTGGCACCCTTGGAACGAGGTAAACTTAATCCTC